ACTTTCTTTAGGTTAGAATGTCTTTGTTATCAGGTTACAATTTACAATAATAAACATAATGTTGTAGCCTGTTAATGCTAGACAGACCTTACTAAGTGGTTCAGTTTGTTTCCCTCCGTCAGCGGATCCTGAGTGCAGTACAGAAGAACGCCACTAGAGGGGACCCTCGCAGCGTGATCAGAGCCATAGATCAATTCTGCAGCCAGAAGGAGTGGGCCATGAATGTGGGGAATGAGAAAGGTGCTGATCTGTCATTCTCTGACTGTGTGTTTGTGTGTGTCAAATCATTACTTTACTTGATCCAGCTGTATGTTTTGGTACCGTATCTCCTTTCTTTCCCCATGTCTTTGACCGCAGGCTGTATTCTTGACTCAGTGGTGTCTGAGGTAAACCCAGCCACTGTTTTGGAGCTGGGAACCTACTGTGGCTACTCCACGGTGCGCATCGCCAGCCTGCTTCCCCCTTATGCCAAGTTCATCACTCTTGAATTCAACCCAGACTTTGCTGCAGTTGCTCGTCAAGTCATTGCGTGGGCAGGACTAGAGGACAAGGTAAAAAGCCTGATATCTTTACACAAACTGACACTCAACTCAGTTAAACCGTGTGCACGTTTGCGTGTTTCTTTTTTGTAGGTGCAGTTAGTGGAAGGAGCATCTAGTGACTGGATTCCCAAAATAAAGGAACAGTTTGGGATTAAAACCTTTGATTTGGTTTTCCTGGATCACTGGAAGGAACACTACCTTTCTGACACAAAACTGATGGAGGTAAGTTGGTTATACACAATTTATGTTGGTCAAATTCATCTTTTCTGCCATGACACTCACTTAGATTTTTTTTTTTTTTTTAATCAGGAGTGTGGCCTGCTCAGAAAAGGCAGTGTCCTACTAGCGGACAATGTCATCTGCCCTGGAGCTCCTGACTATGTGGAGTATGTGCGTAGCAGCCCTCGATATAAAAGCCACTACTTCAGGTCACACCTGGAGTACACCAAGGCAGAGGAAAATTTATGGTATTTGGGAATCATAGAGTAGATAACGGCTGCAAGTAAAAATCGGGGGGGTTAATATAGAACGAGGATATGAAATTAAATTTCTAGGGGTC